GTTTTAAATTCGAATTTGTTATTGCGTATTGGTTCGATTATAGAACGATTGTAAACGTTTCAGAAAATTGATCAAATTGAAAATAGTTCGTTTGATTTTCGGCAATTCTCTTCAGCGGTAGGTGTTATATAACAATTACTATGGTTATTGAAATATTGGATGTAAATGGGGTTTGCTTGCAAAACCTCCGCTGACGAAGTCGCGGGTAACAGCTAGTATATATATATATATATAGATTCATAGATTTCTATAAGTTTGACGGCTCTCATCCATAAATTAACATTCATCTGAAAATAATTTCTTTAACTTGGTCAACTATCTAGATATTGTTTATATCAAACGTCGCGCTTGACTACGAACGAGGCGATTTATTGCTGTGACCACGTGTCACGTGCAACCAAAGAGGGGGTAAAAACATCTGTTATTCCCGTCTTGTTGATATTAACGTCTATAGAATTAGCTTTAAACAAATGGAGGAGATTTCTTTTATTGATATACTAACGATTTTTTTCGAAGAGATCATCTCGGTCATTGACCGCAGAAGTCCCCCCTTTTCCCTTTTTACCTAATCACGAAGTTTATTAGAAAGGTGATATTGTTCTAAAACAAAAGGGTTTTGGACCGTCACATTAAATTAAGTTTTCGGTAGCTATGTTTATCTCTTGGCGTAGTCGTTGAATGCTCCATTACTCATAATGCTACGGTTAATAGTATTATTAAAGAAGGGTCTTAATATTCTTGTATTTATATCAGACTTAACCTCCGAAATACGTAGAGAAGCGCAGTAATAGCAATTGAACAGCTGACAAAAGTCAAATACAGGAATAAACCAGAGTTGACTTCCTACTGAAAACCAAACTGTAGTGGCGCATATTATAAATTGCTGGGTAACTGTTGTAATTAAAGTCTAATTATTAAACGTCTTGGGTGATAGGACCCAGTAGAAATGATCATATTCGTTCTTAATCGTTTCATTCCCATTACTGCTTTAGGAACGGTGTGTATCGCAGCTATTTTGGATGTATACCAGGTGTTTCAGAAATATTTAGCCAAATTGCAGGGGTTTATAGAGGAGTAAACATGCTGAATTTTGTTTTAAATCTTAGTGAATTTTAAATCAAAAAATGTATTGACATCATTTTCGTTTTTTATTACGTTTACCTGATGTATCAGTAATATCGTGGGAAAAGCATAATCCTGAGAAAACAGGAATTGATACTCCTTCGTAGACACCGTTGACTTGTACTGTACGTATGGTAGAAAATTTACAAGTGTCTGCACCCTTATAAATTGTATGAATGCGATTACTGTTGATGAAGAATACGTAATACCTATTGCTCGAGTGTGTTTTGTAAGAGGACCCTCACAAATTATAGCAATAATCTGCTCTTTCGTCACCGATGTTCGGCTATTCCTCCATCAAAAGTGAAAATGAAAAATGCCCTCCATTTTTTCAAAGATCGAGATGAACAGCTAGAAAGATATTATTGGCTGGAATAATTAATTTAATTAAATGGAATGGAATTAATTAAAAATGAGCTTTCTAATAAAGAAGACGTTTGACCTGCCTCTCCGATGTACAAATGAATAATCAGAGCTATTGTGATATTTATGCCTTTCTGGATATCCTCAAGCACCTTCCTGGATTTTCTATAGGATAAATTAGAACAAAATTCTCATTTGGATGCATTTGTTCCTTAACAGCCACAATACAGGTTGTAGTTTAGGAACTGGTTGACTTGTGGGATTTCTTAAAGTTTGGCTTTCTATCATTTTGATATTGATGTTCCATTATTATTTTATCATAATATTTTTTAGTTGAGCCACGAGTAATATGACAGATGTTCCTGTCAATATTGCTGAAGGCTGTATCCTTTAAACTCTGCCTAAGTATCTCATCATCTCTAAATTTTTCTCTTAAAGAGTCGCTCCATATTTATTCTTTACGGTCATTCACGAAAATTAAGAAAAAATCCTAAAATTAATAAGTGTTGCACTATTTTTAATTTAATTTTTATAAATACGGTACGTTTATGCACTTCTAACATATTTCAGCCAGTATAATGTTAACAAAGTAATGTTTTATGTAAGTATAAATATCATTTTGTAGAGATCAGTTGGCAAGAACTAACCTGAATCATCTATTCTTTAAATTGAGCTGACTTCTCAACATCAGAAGCTCGTGCGAACCTGTTAAAGAAGTTCAAAACAACAGAAGGATTTCTACACTCAAATACTATAACAATAAATCGCACGTTTGACCAAAAAAAAACATGAACGATCGACAGGTAAACTTTCATTCCCTCTATTACTTGAAATAATTTATAACTTCTTAATTTATATTTTCCTAAATTCATAATGTTTTAACTTTGTGAAATAGATATTAAACATAAATTTACTTTTAAACATTATGATGTATAAAAATTATATGAAATAATGTGCACACTAAAAATTTATTTAGTGATATAAAATTGAAGATGGAAGATTTAAGTTAACGATTTAAAAATGTAATTATATTCGTCTGTGTTATTTTAGAATGAAATGCAACACGCAGGAACATCGAAAATTACCGTAGGCGATCTTCCACAAATCGCTGCCAAACATACAAAGGAAATGCAAATTGGAGATAAGTACTGTATTTCCATAAACAAAAGAAGATTTTTACGGAAAATGGTAAGTTTATAAATATAAATAAGGAGATAAACAAGAAGAAATGCTTTTAATGTCTTGCAGATAACAAAGAAGCGAATGTAGAACAGACATCACCCTGTCAATTTTGCAAAATAGACATACAGGGTATATTTTTTTGAATTAGCTCAACGTACTTCTACAACACGAAACTATACTGGTGTGCAAAACTTAAACAATAATGTAATTTTTAAACAGGCAGCCATGAAATTGTATAAAATGGCTTGTTGCAATCAGTTCAATAAACACTCAACTCAGTAGAATGATTCGTATTCAAAAAGAAGAGATTACAAATGACGTGAGTAAGCTCACGTAGTGCAAGATTATAAAAAGGAGGCTTTGTTTCCACAGTGTATGCATTGTATCCATTTCTGAGCTAGTATGCCTTCTTCATCCTTTAAGTATAAAATACTTAAAACACTGTCTCTGTATTCTGAATTTCATGTCTTACAGGCGATTTTTGCAGGAGTTAAGGCAAAAAAATAATTGTTGCTTAAGTTTTGCACACCAGTGTATTAAAAGCTATATTATTAAATACTTGTAATTTTTTATAGAATTATTAAAGAAATGTAATGGAAAACTTAGGAACGCGTATCGAACATTCAGTGCTTACATGGATTCTCCACTTCTGTACAGTGAAAAGACTGTTCCTTTAATAGATTATTATGTAGATTTAGTGCTGGAAAAAACAGATCATTCTGGAAATCCAATAAAAGACATGATTACCATCGACAAGGTGTTGATGAAAATTACTGATGAACATACAAATATTCTTGTATATGGAGATCCGGGTTATGGTAAATCTACGTTGTGCAAGAAGATTGCATACGATTGGGCCGTTGATAATCATGAATTACAACATTTTGACTCTGTTGTCGTCGTGACATTAAGAGATCTTCAGGGAAAAAGCATCGTCCATGCAATTCTGGAAGCCGTTTGTGGAAATCATGAAGTGGGAATGAAGGGAAAAATATGGAATGCCGATGTAAACTTCTTGATTATTTTAGACGGTTACGACGAATTCCCCGATAGAAATTCAGTAATTCAATTTATAAAAGAGGATTCTTTCGAGATTTCACGAAATATGACGATTCTTGTAACCAGTCGTCCCGAACCTGCACAGGAAATAACGAAGGCATTTGACATGAAACTTAATCTCATTGGATTTGAATGTTATCATCAACATAAATATGTAAGCTTAGTTTTCAAACAGTCTAAAGATAAAAAACGCAGTCTTCAGTATGTGTTAGAAAGAGATGGTTTCCTTTTTAATTTATCGAAATGCCCATTAATGTTACATTTGCTGTGTTGTTTGCATAAGTTGGTAAGATTAGAATGTACCAAAAGAAAAACAGATGTGTTTATTCTAATATTTGAATTTCTTATCGAGAAATATATGAGAGCTAATGGTGGATGTAACCATTTGAAGAAGGGAAAGTATTTTTATGGTGAAGATCTTTTAGTTCGATTGGGAAAACTAGTTTACGAGAAAAACCAAATTATGGGCAGAGTAAATCACTATAAAAGGGAAGAAAGAATTACCTTCGATGATTTAAAAGAATGTTTTCCAGATGAGAAAGAACTTGAATTTATTCTCGGGTTGAAATTTTTTATTTCATTCTGTAACCAAGATAAAAATATATATTTTCACTTTATTCATGTGGATTTCGAGACATTTCTCATCGCTCTTTATTTACATAAAAACACCGAAGAATCACGTTTCGATATTTTCTTGCAAATAACTAGCCATTCGCCTAATTACTATATTACGTTATTTTATATGGGTCTGTTTGGAGATGAGAAAATTCCAGAATTTTTTAAAAATTATTTTGTGAAAGTTAAACATTTGCAACGTTTTGAAAATGAAATATGCAATGAAATTACCAATGCAGATAACATCGTCATAATGAAGGACCAAAATTCCATTATACAAAAAGTCATAAAAATTGTATATGAATTGAAGAAAACCCTAATTAATTAAGCAGGATGTATCTTCAATAATATAATGTTTATTGAATGTTGATTGGTGCTTATTCTTTTTTTGTTCGTTTTGTTGATTTTAATTTAAGATGCTTGTAAAAAGCCAACCAGGCCACAGTTTCTTTTTGAGAAATAAAATAAATAAATAAATAGTTGACAGTTATTCATGTTGTGAAACGACCCATATTTCGCTTCTTATTCGGACGTTTATGGCTAGAGGCCTGATTTTTATGTTAAATCGTGTTCTTTTCTTGAGATATTCCACAAATCAAGCATGAAAACATATTTTGGATGATGTAGGAGCCTTAAGAAGTTATTAAAGCACATTTCTCACATTTTTCCATACAGCAGAATTTATAAAATTAACTAGATCAAACANTACTTTAGATAATACCTACTGATGATGCTTACTACTCATACCATTACAGTTGTGTCCTCGCTTATATATTGTATAACTTTAGGCTTAGTTTTAAGTTGACCGTTACCTTGTATAATTCTATTATGGCATTACCTTTAACTAACACCAACTGATGAGGAACTGTTTTTTCTTAGGAAATAGTCCGAAATGCATTTTGGGTTTTCATTTTCACACTTATGTATTAACTTTTTGAGTTTATTAAATTGTTTTCACTTTGATCTCTGAGCGTTTGTGCCCATCATTTGGTCTGATAAGCCCTCACTATTATCTGCCTCACGGTTGTGGATAATTTAATTTAATTAAGAAAATATAACACAATTCGTCTAAAATGCACCAATGTCTGCCAGACAGGGAACCTTCCTCAATAACAAAAAAATAAAAGGAAATAATGTTTCACTACCACATACATGTTAGTACATCAGCTCTCTCATTTCCCGACAGTAGGCACCAAATTATGTTATTTGGGTGCCTACACGTATGCAGCCGCGATTGTATTTTCGCCTCCAGGTGAAGGTCTCATCAATCTGAAAACGAAAACACATGAATACAGACAGACTTTTCGGCAAAGTCAGAAACGTGGGGTGATCGTCACCTCGACGTGCAACCCTTCACCGCCTAGCTTGATGTTCTGATTTTGGGAGACAAAAACCTCTGCAACTTCCCAGCAGAAGTTGTACCAATCTACCATTGTTGCGAGAGCCATGCTGCATTGCTCTGTGGTGATGTTAAACGGCTTGACCCACGAATATATCAATCTCAGCACCTGTAAAATACAGAGAAAACACATCTTGTACACTAATCACAGAAATGCAGAACATAGAGTGATACTGGAAAGACTGTACTTTCTGGTTAGCAGGGCACCAGTAACTGTACTATTATTTTTAGAAAATTCAAACTTTTCTTTTGCATGTTTTAGATAAATATCACTGTAAATAAATAGCAATGAATTACAAAGTAGCATTTTCTATTGAATAAGTGGACTGATAACGTTGGTATAGAGTGGCTAACTGAGAGAATGCTAACTGAAAAATACCGGACTGGGAAACCGCCAATTCTGTGAGAAATTTTTGCGATTGACTGTAATATACATTTTCAGCTGAAAGCTTTGCTCTTTCAAAGAATGTATTGTGGGTACAAGACAGGCTACCGGTGCACACAGCCCTCCGGACAGTGCCGACTGTCCGTTGTCTAACTATTTTTTTCTTTCAGTTTTTCGCAGTGGTAGATAAATCCAAACCTGTCAGGTGGAGCCGGTTCCTTGCGCATATTGCCTGAAAATTAAAGACAAACTCATTGGAATCACTTAGAAAAGTAGCGAAATGCTGTGCTGTGAATATTCGCTGTTCCTGTACATGCAGGAATCAAGCAATGCTTACCTCTGCACTTAGGGTTAGGTCCGGATGTGGCACTAGTCCCACGAGATTGCAAAATTTCGGGGTGGCCTCTTCGATGGTGAGGTAGCAAAGAAATTCATACGCAGTCATGTTTTCAAATATGTCAGCAGAATCGACAACAGGAGATGCTGAAACATCACAAGTAAACAGCATGGTTTTCTTTCTCAGGCTACAACTGGGTACAAAGGCTCGAAGGCAGCCTGCAGGCTTATAAAACATCAGGGGCGGTGGCGCAGTTACCCTCGGCCGACTGGCCATTGGCCACATGACGGGGCCCACTCCCACTTCACGGCCAAGGGGGCCACCTGGACGGCCTGTCATGTGCAGTGCCCTCCTCGGGCTCACATGACACAAGTATGAGTTCTGAAATGGTTCTGGCAGAGCGACCTGGTGGGTCGGTGCAGAGAGAAGTGGACCTGTGCTGGCTGGGATTGGGGTTCGATCCCTGGCTCAGGTAAGAGGTGTAATAATAATAGATATTTGTATTTACAAGCAACAGATGGTGACTCTGGACGACTGCAGGCGAGAGACCAATGCCACCTAAGAATAAAGCCTCCAAACAACACTGATGACGTTGCAGCATGCGGCTGATGCTGTTGTGAATACTTTGTAAATGATATCGTTCCTTTGTTCCTTTTTAAAACAATTTCCAGAAAATAAAAATGTAGTTGGCATAGTTGCACTAAACATTAATATGTAAAAGTGAAATAAAATTAAAGATGACACAGATAAATATTTCAATATTTTATTAATGGAAGAGTACACTAAATTCAGTTGGTTTAAAGTAGTGATCAAATAACTTCTAGGAATTTCTAAGTATAAAAAGTGTAAGTTTAAACATAAACTTTTTAAATTCATTATTATACAAAGCAGTATAAGTACTTTCAGAGTGTTCAGAACATAAAATTAGTTAAATAATAATCGAAAACAAGTATAATAAAAAATTGAGATTTTATTTTTAAAATTAGTTTTTATTCACCATTACATAAGAAGTATACACACATTTATTTATACATACCTAGATACATAAACACAAACAAAAAAAGGATGAGACTGCTATTAAAATAAACATAACAGATCTAAAATAACAATATCTTTAAAACTCATTATACAGAATCACTTTGCTTGTAAATAAAATACCTCAGTTTTGTTTATGACGCTTGTAGGTGGTAACGTCCTTTTGCTTCAAAATATCATCGATCTTTTTTGCATAATTTTTTACCAAAATATTTGAAGAACACAGTAAAATTTTTATAATTATCAAGTCTGTACTATGTCCATTTACACATCTATGGCCAGCAAATAAATCAGATGACAGATTATTTAAAGCTGCTTTCATCAGTATGCTTCTTTGATTGCCCTGCTCTAGAAATAATTTTTCCTTCTCTGATATCGTTTTCTGGCTTGTAACATAAACATAATATTTACACAAAACAACATCTTCACTTGGATATGTTAAACCTACTCTATCCATAGAAAGTATTAAGCTAATGTCTTCTGTTCTACTATCATCAAAAATTAAAAAGACTTTACAATAATCACAGTTTACATATTTAATGACCTGATGTGAGCAGTAGCCAGCAATGTAATGAAGAACAGGCCATGTACACACTCCTATCTCTTCAAAATCATATTCTTCCATAACAATATTTAAAGAATCAGGAACAACAACACTTTCAATATCCTCTACATTTGTGCATTCAACAAAGATATCATCTTTAGTTATAAGTATATTACCATTTTTCACAATATTAATGAAAATATACTTCGTGCCCTCAACTTACTTTCAGTTTCAAATAACTGTCCGAGGGATATGTGATAGTTTCCACCACACATTTGACGGTATTTGCCAAACCTGTCCTCTAGACTATCTGTTTGAATTTTACCAAAAAGAAGGTAGTTTATTTTTTTTAATTAATCCAATAATCACAAAAATTAATAACAGCAGCTGTAGTGTGCCTTAATGCAGTATATGTTTCTCTGGTTAATTTTTTGTTATCATTTAAAAGATTCCAGTTGTTGTGCCACAAGAGAAATCAATTAAGAAATTCAAGTATATGTTTTGAATTTGCAGTTACTGGTTATTGTAATGGACTTCTTAGCCTCTGACCTTTAAGAAATGTCTTCACATTCACCACCACTGATATATTATTTCAATAAATATGGCAGTTGATTCCCATTCTTCAATACTGTTTTTTGGTCCCATATGTCTCAAAGCTACAGATGTATTATTATTAAATATTTGAATAGCCAACTTCACATTCTGCCTTTCAATAGAAGTAGGATAGAGGCACTTTAGTGACAAAACACTACCATATTTTAATAATTGGTCTTTTTCTAACAGATGAAGCATCTTTAAAGCTTTAACAGATGCAATGCCTCCCTTCAACTCTTCACTGAAATCTGGAAAGTTCAGAGCTTCATCTGTTTTATTGAACCAATTATTTCTAATACACTTTAATTAACAGGTGCACTGTATCACATAAATAATATAATGATCTTTCATTTGGATTTTGAACTGGATGATCACATTTAATCTTAAAATCTGGACGGTTGCTAAATAAAGAAATTGCTTTTATATTAATTGCATTATTATCTGCAACAACACCTAAAACATCAAATCCAAGTGATTCTAGTTTTACAATAATATCTCTTATTAATGCAAAAAGAACATTAGCCTGAATGCATTTAACTGGAAGAATGTGGCATACATCTTTGTACTGTGAATCCAAACTTTGATTCATGAAAACAAATGCACTACTAGCACATTTAGCAGAGTCATGAGATTTACCCACTATATTTCCACCTTTATAGTCTAATTGTGATTTTAAATGTATCTCATCAACTAGCAAAAGANTACTGTTCAAACCTTTCTAGAAAAACTAAAATTTATTGTTGTGTATTAAATATTTTTTATTAATAAAAATTAATAAACAGTTTTTCACATTATTTAGTTTTGCTTTATTTATTGTTTTATATTTTTTGTGTGCTCTATTTCTAGTGTGAGAAAGGGGGACCCGTAAGAAGAAAATGTCTAGGGCCCCAAAGAGGGTTAATCCGGCCCTGTTCACATCTCGCGTCATTATTTTACCATAGTAACCGGAAGACTTGACATCAGCATTTTACGTATTTCATTTGTAAAAAATAAATGGCACAAGGGGCACGCGTTATCCCAGGGCCTCTATGTAAGCTATCGACAGTCCTGCTTATATATAAAGAAACACAAGACACTCAATTTTCTTCTATAAAATGTTTTAGCTGATGTAACATTTTTCAGAAATTCCATTTACACTTAATATAACTTTATTAATAAGTGCAAAAATACATAAATTATAGTTTTTAACACAAATCAATTGTTATCGTGTTACATTAAACGTCCATTTTCTGGTAAAAACTGGCTCTAATTCGATTTACATTCTACTCAATGCCTTCCATCGTCTATAAAGTAACTAACACCGAATAATGTTGAAAGTATAAGGCTAATCAATACTTAAATATAATTTGGTGAATGATTGCTGACTTTTATATTGTTACACAATAGATTTTCGCATCAATTATATTATTAAAATAAATATAAATTTAAATTTTTTATTGAAGAAAAGGGCAAATCTATAGTGCAGCAGTCATTTCTCATTAAATAGTGTACTGTTTACTATACAATACAGACAAATATGTTGCATAAATGATTTAGTGTCATTATTTTTCAATGCATACAGTTATAAATCAGGAAATAACTTGATATAATCTTGAATACTTTCAAACAGATCCTTCTTTAAAAGTAAACAATTTTCTTCGGTGTCATCGTCTGTAGAAAATTTCAGTCTAACTAACGCGGAAGGTAATTGATTTGTAACAACTGCAGGATTTTCGACACAATTGAAAACTTTAAGTAAATATGCAGGAAATGTATTTAGTCGACTTCCCTGTTTAATCTCATCAATCACAAAAGGAACTTGAACAATTCCACACAAATAGATTTTAAATTTGTACCACGTATTTTTTATCAATATATCTCGAATTTTCTCCAACTTTTTCCAGTTATTTTTCATTGTTATGGTATCTTTCTGTTCAAGAAACTCTTCCCCTATTTTCATAAACATAAATATTTCTACTTGACAGGAATACCAAACTCTATCGTGAAGTTTATTCAGGTTATCAAACGTGACGGTGGGAGACTCGCGAATGTCAACAATAAAATATATCTGTGAAAAGTCTGAAGGAATCATCCAATGAAAATAGTTGATACGTGAATTACAAGAGTTTTCGTACTTTTTAATTGTGTTCGAAAATATTTTCTTGTCTTCTTCATTGACGATTTCTTTGTATATCATTAACGAAAGATCCAACGAAAACACAACTTTTTCAAAATTCTTGTAGCAACTTTTTGGAATTTTTTCTTCTCCAAATAAACCGAAATAAAATATAATAAAATTGTTATCAGTTGTAAAGTTTGTAACACGTGGTACAGTAGAATCGCTTGTGACATTCAGGAAAAATACTTCAGGGTTTTTATACAAATACAGGGCGACGAGAAATTCTTTGACTGTCTCGTGCACACAATCAAAGCAAGGATTATCGTCAATGTCAAAGCAGTAAGAAAGAAAATCCAAACCGCGATCAAAGATCGCATTATCGCCATCGACACATTCATTTAATTCGTCGAAAGTAATTTTTTGTTCCTTATCAAAGGGATAAAATCGCACTTTTTTAACGGGAGTTTTCCCGTAAATTAACTGTCCTAATTTAACTAAATTTCCTTCGAATGGAAAATACTTCCCTATTGGCACTTTGAAATTTTTCTCAAGTTTTCTCTTTGATCTGTTTGTAATCAATTGCATTATATAAATATACAAATCTGTCTTTCTTTGTCTATTTTCTAATCGATTACTTTTGTGCATACAACAAAGAATATGCAAGAATAACGGATTTTTAGACAAAGATAAATAAAATTCATTTTCTAATAATACAAGGAGTGTTTGTATTTTATCATCATCTTGTTTAAACACCAACTTCGCGTATTCTTCCTGCTGTAAGAGTGAAAATCCTTTAAGATCAAATCGAAAATTTATGGATTCTCTTATTTCTTCTGCACGACGAGGACGACTCGTCACAATAACGGTCAATTTTCTAAAAACGCCAAAGGAATCATTTAAGAAATTTTTGGTTCTATCAAAATGGTAGTGATCTTCATTGTATCCATCTAAAATAACTAATATATTTAGATTTACATTTTGTATTTTCTTCTTTATTTCTGGTTGTGAAGTTCCCCAAAATACTTCTAGAATTGCATTCTGCACGCTCTTAAACTCTTCGCTTAATGTTAGGAATGCAACAAAGTCAAAATGACTTAAGTAATTGTTTGAGGGATCATCGACGGCCCAATCGTACGCAATCTTCTTGCACAATGTAGTTTTTCCAGAACCAGGATCCCCGCATACAAGAATGCTCGTATGTCCATCATTCACTTCTCTAAATATATCCTTGATATCAAGAATTTTACCAATTGGACTACCAAAATTATCTGTTTCTTGCAGTTTTAAATTAACGTAATAATCGTTTAGAGGAAAGTCTCTTCTCTTATTCTCCCATAATAAAGACCTCATATAATTGTTTTCTGTTTGGTAAAATTTCTTAAGTCGCTCTTTAATTTTTTCAAATCTTTCTGAAAAATTTGTCGATTATCAAATAAAAAATGCTTGTTTAAATTATTTTATATGTTACTATAAATTGTAACAGAATAAATAAAATATAGTAAAACCTGTAAATTTCTAAGTTAAAGGAATCAAAAAATATCCTGTTTAAGTTAAGGAGAGGTTATAAATAATCCTGCAGTTATATGTAAAATTCAGGCTCAATGTACAGAGTAGTAAAATGAGGAATTTAATTCATAATTTTAGTTTAGAAGCTGTAATAATGATTTAGATAAGTGATTCATTACATAAGTCATGAACAAGAAAATTTACGTTATTAGAATTACATTTTTATATAAGCAAATTGCTTCGTCAGTTCATAAATGCAAAGTTCAAAATGGCTGCAGGGAACGAAGAACTCTGATCTGAATCGAAATATGAATTATTTATAAAAGCCAAATTTACTTTTCTGCTAAATTATCTTATGCACTTGCTATTGATCTTATATTAAACAATGAGCCAAAAGATTTGGCAAATCTTAACAGGTTTTTCGACATTTGCCAACATTTTATTAACGAGAAATTGATATCACAGGTTTTACTGTATTTATTATCTGTGTTGTAAAGCAAATCATACCTAATTCAACTGTATCCAAATAATAAAGTTCATAATTTCTTGTTTCACGATATTCATAAACATCTAACATGGTGAAATTTATATGAACTGAAACTATAGTAATTTACAGTTAGTGTAACTTTCATTGTTTAAGATCTCAAACAGTTGTTGAAGAATAAGATAGACGAACTTACCACTTTCAGCGAGTGTCTCAAGGATTATTTTGCAGAAACTTGTAGACTTTGTTTAGGTTCCACTTAAGCAATTTGTTCAGTTGCTTAAGAGAAATTAATCTGAAATAAATGAATACATACAATTCAGAAAACTCTTATTAAATGTGATTAGTTTTCATTCTGTACTGGAGAGCCAGATAGCAGTATAAATTTCAGAAAGAAGATTCGATAAATTGTAAGAAACAATAAAATAATGCAAATTTACAGTTGATTATATACTGTATATACGTATCTCTCTTCATCAAATATAATCACCAGATTGTAGTCGATTTTATACATCTTCCACGTGTTTTTTATGACTTTTAACAGTTATTTTTATAAGACCACTTTTTAATAACAACACTATTAATTGTAGCATTATCAGTAATCGAGCATTCAACGATTATACCGAGAGATAAACATGACTACCGAAAACTTAAATTAATTTAACTTAAAATAAACAATTATATTTGTTATAACCGTAATTATGTTTCAAAAATACTTATTAAATGGCGTTATTTATAATTTCACCAACCTGAAAGATAGAACGAACTGAACAACGGTAAGCAAACTTCTAATATTGCTGCAATCATAATAAAATTACATTCTGTAAAATTGTAATTTCGTGTAATTCGTAATTTTCGTACTACAGTTAACAATACTCAACAGTATTCGAATACAACTCAACGTCCTAGAATATAAAGAGAAGGGACGTTTCTTATTGGTTGCTTATTTGACGTCAGTCGTATTCGAAAACAAAACGATATTATTTACTCATACACATACAGTACAAAGATAACTTTGTCAAAAGAATAGTTTTTTAATGTTATAAATATATATTTTATATATCAATATATAGGCCTACAAATTAAGTGTTACGTAAAAACAATTAAATTAGGTTCAAACTGTTTTAAATTTTCTATTGTTATTACAGTTTACTTTTTGCTGAGGAACGATCGTATTTAATTTAATCAATATACGTTGCTTTACATACGTGTATATAACGTTTTCTGGAAAATCAGTTGTTTGTGTAATTAATGATATCATAGATGAAACGGTTTCACGTTTGAAAAGTGGTTTTAGTTTTTATAAAAATTGATTTCATTCTTTAAACAAAATATTGTAATTAATCATTGTTTAGTTCTAAATTTTCCTGATATATGTCACATAAATCATCACTATTTACATTGCGTGAATTTTCAGTTATTCCTTATTCTTTTAGAAGTAGACATATCTGAAACTTTTCGCAGTACCAGTCGACCCCTCTATAACACTGTTGATTTTTCCGTTTTATATGAATTCCATGTTGTACGAGTCACTTAGATTTTACAAATACGTGAGCCCTTCACAGCCTAGCACAC